CAGCTAATTTTTGTATTTTTAGTAGAGATGGGGTTTTGGATGATCTCAGTCTCTTGCTCGTAATCCGCCTTGGCCTCCCAAAGTGCTGGGATTACGGGTGAGCCACCATGCCCAGCCAGTACATGTTTAAGAGTGCTGGTTCTTAAAGCATGTTCATGTAGAAACTGAAGATTATAAAAACTGTCCTTACCACTAGAACGTGTCATTGGTTGCCTTTCTGAGATTTATCCATATTACGGTTCTTGATAATATTTGTAAACATATTCACCTAATGTTTTATATGTCCTTTTTTTCCTCACAGATGCTGTACCCCTCAAGGATTTAGAACTAATGAAAAGTCAATAAATAAATGTGGATATGTGCTCTTGTATTTTTGTTAAGTGGATTAAAAAACTTACTACGTTAAGTTGATTGCTTCATGCTTAAAATGATGGAGGTTGTCCAGTATTTTTGGAGTATAAGGAGGTCAGAGAGACATGATGAAAATTACAGGGCAAGTACAGAGATTTAGAAGGTAATTGGTTTTTTTTTTTTTTTTTTTTTTTGGACAGAGTTTGACTCTTGTTACCCAGGCTGGAGTGCAATGGCACGATCTCGGCTCACCGCAACCTCCGCCTCCTGGGTTCAGGCAATTCTCCTGCCTCAGCCTCCTGAGTAGCTGGGATTACAGGCACGCACCACCATGCCCAGCTAACTTTTTGTAGTTTTAGTAGAGACGGGGTTTCACCGTGTTGACCAGGATGGTCTCAATCTCTTGACCTTGTGATCCACCCGCCTCGGCCTCCCAAAGTGCTGGGATTACAGGCGTGAGCCACCGCGCCCAGCCTAAGGTAATGGGTTTTAATGTGAGTATCTTTGACAGAGCCTTGCTCTGTTGCCCATGCTGAGTGTAGTGGCACTCACTTCAGCCTCACATTCAAAGGATCAAGCAGTCTACCTTGACCTTTCAAGTAGTTGGGACCACAAGCTCATGCCACCATGCCTGGCTCATGTTAAAATTTTTTGTAGAGAGGGTCTGATTCTTGCCTTTGCTGGCCTCAAACTCCTGGGCTCAAGCAGTCCTCCCTTCTTGTCCTCCTAAAGTGCTGGGATTATAGATGTGAACCACCACACCCTGCTAAGTGCTTTGTAATACTGTGCATTTGTTCAATACAGATTGGTTGGGAAACTTAAAATTAGGAATTGGGAATAATTTGAATGGAGATTATGTTGATGGGCTTTGGTAGTTAATTTGGATAGACTGGGATGAGAAGCTCTTGGGACTTGACAGAGTATTCCAGTATTAAACAGAATTAAGCCACATTACTCATTTGTAAAAAACAATCCTATGGTAGGTATATGGAGGTTGGTAATAATGCATGGGAAGGTGGCAGCTTTCTTTGGCTTCATGTTTTAAGCTGGTACAGATTGCACTTTAAAGAAGTAAGCAGGCCTCCCGAATATTTTAGATTTCTTGAGAATGTGCTAAAATAAAACAACTGAGGCATCAGCTTTGCAATGTGGTTGTAGATTTTTTTTTTTTTTGAGACAAGGTCTTGTTTTGTTTCACAGGCTGGAGTGCAGTGGCATGATTACAAGCTTATTGCAATCTCAACCTGGGCTCAGGCAGTCCTGCCTCAGCTTCCTGAATAGCTGGGACCACAGGCATGTGTGCTGCCACACCCAATTAACTTTTTAGTTATTTGTAGAGCTGGGCCTCACTATGTTTCCCAGGTTGTAGATTTCTAATTGATGGAGTAACAGTCTTTTTTTTTTTTTTCCCCCCTCCTGAAAGTTAGTGTTGTCTCTAGCATGGATAGTTTTTTAAATTAACAGATCTTTAAATTGCACTGAAAATGTCAACAAGAAACTGAGAGTTTGCCATTCTAAGCCCTTTTGCAGTTTTGAAATGTGTATGGGTTCTCTTGTGTATGCTAAAAAATGATTAACATGCTGGAAATGTATTGGGGGAAAGAGGTAAAAGAAAGGATTAGATAGGAAGAGCACACTGGCTATGTTATTTGCTCCTCCATCTCCTGGAGGCAGGACTGAGGGAAAATTTTTGTAGAAAGGGAAAGTGCAAATACTGTCCCAGCTTTCCCACTTCCCCTTCCTCCAGTAGCCACCCTGTTAAAATCTGCTAACCTACCAAGAGGGTAGTGAGATACACGGGCCCAAGAGAAAGCAAGAAGCCCACCTCCCCCAAAGGGCCCCCTGTCACATTGACAGTTCTAAGAAAGGTTTGGTCAGTCCAATGATTGTATGCAGGCCAAAGTTGCCATTGTTGGAGTCCTATGCTTCATGGACATGGGCTTGTATTTGCACTCCTGCTAGGCTCATTTATTGAGATTGTGGTTTTAAGGCAAACGGTGCATTTATGCTGTATTCACCAGATGTGAGCACCTTTCATGGCCAGAGTTGGAAGTGGGTTATTAAAATGCTAATGAATTGAACTTGGGAATTATGAGGTCAGGGAAGGAAGTGCTGATCTTGGACACCCACTCTGAAAGGCCAACATAAGCTAAAAGTACCTATTGGGTTCATTGTGCCAGTTAAGTAGATATGATCAGTACTCGGTATTCAGGGATAGAGGCATGTAGGTATACTGGCTGTGTAATGAAACTTTAGAGAAACACCTCAAAGAGGAAATGGCAAGAAGATCTTAGGAACACAGAAGGCAGTTGAACCAACCTAACTGATTGGCTGACTGAAAAGTCCAGAAAACAAAGAAATGCCACTTAAGAGGTCTTTTGTACTGTACTGAGGATCTTAGGCTCAAGACTGTTCTTGTGTGTAATAGAATGTCACTGAAGAACCTGATTTGCAGGAGAGAAACCAGTTTTGTAATTTAAAAATTCATTTCAGACAGGGTTTCTGTTGCCCAGCCTGCAGTGCAGTGGTGTGATCGAAGTTCACTGCAACCTTGAACTCCTGTATTCAGGCAATCCTGTGCCCAAAGTCTCCAGACAATCTGGGACTACATGTGCATGCCACCCACGTCCAGCTAATTAAAACATTTTTTGGAGGGGCCCAGGCTGGTATCTAATTTGGCCTCAAGTGATCCCTGTGCCTTGTTCTAAAGTGCTGGGATTACAGATGTGAGCCACCATGTCCAGCTCAGATTAACATTTTATCTTTCTGCTTTTTTTTTCCCCCCTTGGGAAACATCTGTGTTACAGATTGACAGTTTAAATCCTAATGGCAGCCCAGCATAAACAAGGGAAAATCAGGTGGGGCTTTTCAGTCTGAGAATTATAACATGTTTCTGGCTATGGGAGCTGGCTGGGTAATGGTGCATTTACAAAGCTGGGGAACCAGGAGATGGTTTTGTGAGAGGAGCACAGTTGAATTTGAAGAAGCTATAAGATGTTTACCTGTGGACATGTCCATGAAGACAGATGGGTATTTCAGTTCTGGGTTAGACATGGAGAAGTGAATGGCATTCTGAGTGGACTAGACGAGAGCAATGGAGGCGCTTACACAGTAAGTGGTAGGCACTTGAGCAAAGCAGGGAAAACAAACGGTTGAGACTGGGGTAACTCCAGTAACTCACATGTGCAATGGTAAATGAGCTTCAAAAATAAATACATGCTATTTGTTACTGGGATGGTGCAGCATTTGTAAATGTGTTTTTCTGCTCCCATACGGAAATTAAGTCAAAGGTACTCAAGTCAGTGTTGCCACAGTAAGAGTCCCGTGGTTTACAAGAAAGGACTTGCCTGGCTGGCAGCTTGTCCACTACGACATTGAAATAGCCATTCCTCCTGGCCGGGCGCGGTGGCTCACGCCTGTGGTCCCAACACTTTGGGAGGTCAAGGTGGGCAGATCACTTGAGGTCAGGGGAGACTAGCCTGAGCAATGTGGTGAAACCACATCTCTACGTAAAGTACAAAAATTGGCGGGCGTGGTGGTGGGCGCCTGTAATCCCGGCTACTTGGGAGGCTGGGGCAGGAGAATGTCGCTTGAAGCTGTGAGGCAGAGGTTGCAGTGAGCCAAGATAGCGTCATTGCACTCCAGCCTGGGTAACGAGTGAAACTCCGTCTCAAAAAGCCTTTCTTTAGCAATACTGTTGTTACAGGTAGGAGCTCACGATGACCGGTTCCATTCTTTATTCACAAGAGCAATTCATTTGTGGTACTGTGGTGGAAAGAGCACGTTTCCTAAGTCAGAAATGTGGTTTGGAATCCCAGCTTCCACCAGTTGTGGGATGGTAGACACATAAGTGAGTCTTTGCTTGTAAAACGGTAATACTTAAAAACAGCACCGTATCCTCGAATCCGAGTCCATAACCTCCATCCATAGTTTGTAACTCTTGAGATTTTCCTTCTTTTCCACCCCTTCGTTTCCCAGTACTGTAGTTTACCTATTCAGTTTCCACAGGATGACTTACAGCTCAAGTGTGTGACTTTGTAGTTTCACTTCAGGGTCATGAGCCACGGGGATCTGTCCCTATTTCCCATTTAATGTAGTTCCTGACGGCCCGGTTTTGAAGGCGTTTCCTTAATGGCCAGGATGCCCCGTATCTCAGGTGCAGGGGCAAGTCTTGGTTGGAAATTAAAAGATGGAGTTGAGCAAAACAGCAAAGGGTGTATCATTGATTTTGTAGGAAATGGCCTTATTTAACTAACGGGCTGACTCAGGATAAGTAAATGAAAGTATTCCACTCACCTTTTCAAACAAAGGACTACACTGAGAGATTCTGCGGAGGGTTAGGTGTCCGTCTGAACGCCTGGCACCTGGTAGGTGCATGTCACTTCGCTAAACGAAGGACCTGAAAGACTCCCTCAGACACCCACTACCCGCCAACGCCCGTCAGCCTGCCTTCCCCCACAGCCCAACTCACGTGGGCCGCCGAACAGCATTTATTGGCCGCTTCGCGCAACGCGACGCGATGAAGCGAGCGCGCCCTCGTCTTGCGCGGGAACCTCCGGTGGGTGACGCTGTCCAATCGGAAAGCAGCTTCCCGCCCGACCGGGCCTCCGTCGGCCCCGAGCGGCGAGGGGCGGGGCCGGCGCGGCGCAGAGGCGTCACGCACTCCATGGTAACGACGCTCGGCCGGAAGATGGCGGCCGAGTGGGGCGGAGGAGCCGGTTACTCGGGTTCAGGCCCCGGCCGGAGCCGGTGGCGCTGGAGCGGTTCTTTGTGGGTCCGAAGCGTTTTCCTCCTGTTGGGCGGGCTGCGGGCAAGCGCCACATCTACTCCCGTCTCCTTGGGCAGTTCCCCTCCCTGCCGGCACCACGTCCCCTCTGACACTGAGGTAGGGCGACAGAGGGGCGGGAGCGGGCCCTCTCGGGTCAGAGTCCTACGGAAGGAGCAGGCAGAGGAGACAGTGGCTGGGAGACGGTGTCCTGGATGAGAAAGCGAAACTGGGGCAGAGTCTGAACTCTTCCAGGCCTGGGACCCGCGCTCAGCTCGCTGCAAGTTGGCTCTTGGGCACACAGCATCATCACTTTTGTGCGGAGGGCATGCTTAGCAGGTAGCGCTGGATGAGTGTTTTCCAAACTTGAGCGTGCGCGGTGAGCTGACGCACACGTTAAAAGGCAGATTGCTGCCCTCAGCCCCGCACTGAATGACTCAGTAGGTCTGCGCTGAGTCCCCAGAATTGACAAATCACGTTCCCAGCTGGTCAGTGATGTATGCTTGTGCGGGGACCGCTTTAGGAACCGCTGACCTGAAGTTTTGGGAAGACCTTGAGCCGGGAGCCAGAGGCGTTAGGGGACGTTGGGGGTTCACTGGAGCAAAATTCAGGCTTCTTTTCACGTTATGTCATCATTTTGTTTGCTTTACCCGGTTCCTCTGTTCTGGAAGTGCCTGCCCGCCTCCCATCCCATGTTTCTCCCTGCCTACATTCTTTGTGTCAATTCAAGTTCCCAAACTTCAAGGCAGCCTGCCGAAACCACCGAAGCAGAATGTTCTTTTCATTAAAAAGTGCGTCGTATCTGTACTCTCTCCGGGCACTTACCCAAGTACTGCTGTGTGGTAATGGCTTCCTTTCTAGGCATATCTTGCCTTTGCAGCAAAATTTTAAGTTTCCGGGGGATAAGGTTTGTGTTTCATACTTTGATTCCTTCACAGTATTTAGGTCAGTATTCTTTGAGACGAGGAGGGAGAGTACCTGGGGCAGGGCAGCATGCTGTGATTAATTTTATAATTTGTATTACTACTTTGTTAAGAAAGGTTCACCTACACATGTTCAGTTCAGCCCAGAAATCCAAAGACACTCATTTTTATGGTAACTTCCAAAAATATTACATGCATACTCTTCATAACCAAGTGAGCCAAAATATTTACTTCGGGGTGTGTAGCTTTTTTTTTTTTTTTTTTTTCTTTTTTCTTTTTGAGAGGGGGTTTCGCTTTGTCGCCAGGCTGGGGTGCGGTGGTGTGATCTCGGCTCACTGCAACCTCTGCCTCCCGGGTTCAAGCGATTTTTCTGCCTCAGCCTCCCTAGTAGCTGGGACCACAGGCACGTGCCACCATGCCCGGTAATTTTTGTATTTTTAGTAGAGATGGGGTTTCACCATGTTGGCCGGGATGGTCTCGATCTCTTGACCTTGTGATCCACCCGCCTCGGCCTCCCAAAGTGCCGGGATTACAGGCTTGAGCCACCGCGCCCGGCCGGTTGAATTCTTTTTAAAAAATTTCCCACAAAACCCTCCACTTCTCTCTTTTAATTTGTATTAAAGTAAGAGAAAAAGGCCTCATCCCTAATACATTTCCCTAGTTCCTCATGGAGTATGTAAATACCCTGTCGTCCTCACCATTCTCCTTGCTTTAACGTGGACGGAGTATAGGCAGGAACTACAGTGCCCACTGTAGCCGTGCTAATTACTATATCTCTGTAAAATGCTACAGGAAGTTATAGTAAATTTTTTGTTTTTGGTGGTGGTTGGAAGCTACAAAACAGTTTTACCTTTTTTTTTTTTTTTGAGACGGAGTTTCGCTCTTGTTACCCAGGCTGGAGTGCAATGGCGCGATCTCGGCTCACCGCAACCTCCGCCTCCTGGGTTCAGGCAATTCTCCTGTCCCAGCCTCCTGAGTGGCTGGGATTACAGGCACGCGCCACCATGCCCAGCTAATTTTTGTATTTTTAGTAGAGACGGGGTTTCACCATGTTGACCAGGATGGTCTCGATCTCTTGACCTCGTGATCCACCCGCCTCGGCCTCCCAAAGTGCTGGGATTACAGGCTTGAGCCACCGCGCCTGGCCCAGTTTTACCTTTTAACTTATTCTCAACTAAAATCTATAAGTTTTGTTTTTACTTTTTATTATACCAGTACAAACAAAATCAGAATAATTTAATAAACCTCCATGGACCCATCACCTGGCTTTAACACTTAAGGTTCTGGCATTCTTGTTTCATATACTTTCAGCCGTTCCCCAACCTCTTACTTGAGTTACTGTTTTTTTGAAAAGTTTTTTGGTAAAATTTACGTACATTGAAATGCCACAAATGTATCCATGCGCATCCACATAAATATTTCCACATCTTCAGAACGTTCCCTCCTGTCCTGTGCCAGTCTCCTGTCCACCCTAGGCAGCTAGTTTCCTAATTGTGTTTTAAAAAGTAGATTAGCCAATTCTAGAGCTTGGTGTATATGAATGGAATTATATGGGATGTACTACTGTATCTGGCATCTGCTCGGCATTATGTTTGGGATATTCATGTAGTATATGATAGTAATTTATTCCTTTGAATTGCTGAGTATTCCAGTGAATGCCTATATCATAATTTGTTTTTCTGTTATCTTGTTCAAAGATGGATATTTTGGTTGCTTCCAGATTTTAGTTAGTATAAATAAAGCTGCTGTCAATATTCTTGTATACAGTAACTTTTGTCAATATCTGTTTTCATTGTTCTTGGATAATAACCTAGGGGTGAAATTACTGAGTCAAAGGGTAGGTGAATGTTTATAAAAATATACTAAACCTTTCTCCAAAATACTGTACCATTTTACACCCCATCAACAAAATATTAGAGTTAGGGTTGCTGCATATCCTCACCAACAGATGTCCTTTTTAAGAAATATTTGCCTGCCCCCTAAGTCATAAACATATTCTCCTGTGTTCTGGAAGCCTTCACTGCTAGGATTGTGATTCATCTCAGTGCGATAGGGGATCAAGATCCTTTTTTTTTTCTTTGCCCCATATAGGTATTCAGCTGCCTTGATTATGTACTTCTAATACTGAAGTCAGGCAGTATTGTAAGTCTTCCTGCTTTGTTCTTCCTTTTCAAAATGATTTTGACTATTTTAAGGCCTTTATATTTCCATGTAAATTTATTTATTTTTTGGCAGGGGGAGGCTCAAATATCCATATAAATTTTAGAGTCAGTTTTTCAGTTCTTCAAAAAAGCCTGATGGATTTATGGTTGGGATTGCATTTAATCTATAGATCATTTGGGAATAATTGACGTGTAACAGTATCAAGTCTTTCAATCCATGAACACAGTATTCTCCATTTATTTAGGTGATAATGCATAATTTCTCTCAGCAATGTATAGATCTTGCGTTTTTTCTTCCATTTTTTTTTTTCGTTTTGAAACAGAGTCTTGCTCTGTCACTCAGGCTGGAGTGCAGTGGCAGAATCATAGCTCACTGCAGGCTTGAATTCCTGTGCTCAGATGATCCTTCTGCCTTAATCTCCTAAGTAGCTGGGACTACAGATATGCACCACCACACCTGGCTAATTTTTCATTCTTTTGTAGAGAGAGAGTCCAGGGGGTCTCAAACTCATGGCCTCAGGTGATCCTTCTGCCTCGACCCTCCCAAAGTACCAGGAATTTACAGGCATGAGCCACTGTGCCCAGCCACATCTTGCATGTTGTTTGTTAAATGTATTCCTGGGTCTTTTACTTTTCGATGTCATTGTTAGTGGAATTATGGTTAAAGTTTTCCAATTGTTTGCTGGTAGTATGTAAAAATACACTGTAGTATGTAAAAATAATTTTTGTATATTAACCTTGTCTTCTGAGACCTAGCTAAACTTACTTATTCTAGTTGAGTTTCCTCCCTTACAATGTTCAGTGTTAGCAATGTATTAACTATAAATAGAAACAATTGTTGTTTTGTATCATTTACATATATATTTTTTCCCCTTATTGCTCTGATAAGAACATCCAGTTCAAGGCTGAGCAAAAACTTTGTTCCTGATCTTAGGATTAGTCTTTGACCATTAAGTATGTTGTTAACTCTAAATTTTTTTATAGTGCCCTTTATCAGATTGAGAAAACTCCCTTCCATTTCTGGTTTCCTGAGGGTTTTTATCCTGAATGGGGACACATTTTGTCAATTTTTTTTTTCTGGTAATTATTAAGATAATCATATAGTTTCTCACTTATGAACTGTTATGTGGTAGATGACATTGTATTTTCCAATGGTAAATCGATGTTGCATTTTTGGTATAAACCTTGGTCATGTGTAATTTTCTTTTTTTTTTTTTTGAGACGGAGTTTCACTCATGTTACCCAGGCTGGAGTGCAATGGCGCGATCTCGGCTCACCGCAACCTCCGCCTCCTGGGTTCAGGCAATTCTCCTGCCTCAGCCTCCTGAGTAGCTGGGATTACAGGCACGCACCACCATGCCCAGCTAATTTTTTGTATTTTTAGTAGAGACGGGGTTTCACCATGTTGACCAGGATGGTCTCGATTTCTTGACCTCGTGATCCACCCGCCTCGGCCTCCCAAAGTGCTGGGATTACAGGCTTGAGCCACCACGCCCGGCCGTGTAATTTTCTTTAGTGTTTGTTTCTATTTCATCGTTTTCTGTTCTTTGTTATTTCCTCTTTCTACTTATTGTGGATTTAGTTTGCTCATGTTGGTAGATGGAAACTTTAGATCATTGTTTTTGAACCTTTTTTTCCTTTCTAATATAAACATTCAAAGATATAAATTTCTAAGTACAACTTTAGCACTTTTCACAAATTTTGACCTATTGGATTTTATTTATCGTTTAGGTCAAAATGTTTTTTATTTTCCTTGGTAATTTATTTTTTTGACCCATGGATTTAAAAAAAATGTTAAAAATATAATTTGTAAATATTTGGTCCTTTTTCTACTTTTTTTTTTTTTTTTATGGTGAAAAGATATACATATATTTAGAATTGGCCAGCTGGACTCAGTTTAGATGATCCCAATTTTGTTGGCAACATCCAAAGCATCGTAATCAGGAGCCAGTCAAACATATGCCTTCTTCTCTCCATCAGGCCGAATCAGGGTGTTGACCTTGGCCACATCAATGTCATAGAGCTTCTTCACAGC